CCCCAAAACCCCAAAACCCCAAAACCCCGCAGAGAATCATTGATTCGATATGAGTGAGCAAAAATTTTCTTGCATTAAATTATGTATATATCATTTATGGATAATATAAATCAAACTTATAAATGGAAAATATATACTCTTAGTCTGATTTACTGAGAGTCAATAAAGCAATCTTGAACTCAACTCAATAAATATCTTCGTGGTTAAGAGGGCACACACGTAATTTTCATATCAATTTTCAACCTACGAGTCTTATTTTTCTTTTCCTATAGCAAAGAAGATGGAAACAACAAATCAATACGGTGATGCGTAAACGGATGCGGTTGAAAAAGCAAGCGAAATCATAGTTAACCAGTTGAAATAAACTGATGTTATTAGAGGTTACTTTAGCAAAGATTCTCCTTAGGTAAAATTGAATGAGTTACATTAAATATCTTTCTTAGTTCGTTGAAAATAATCCTCAAGGAGAATTTATTGTTACTTTTGATCCTATTGATGGTGGAACAGTGATTGAAGCTAACTACGCTGTAGCATCAATTTTCGGAATATGGAGAAAGGACTAGGTAAATGGTTGTACAGGCAGAGATTTAGCTGGAGCTGCTTTGGCTATATATGGGTCAAGGACAACTCTCTTATTGTATAATTCGCATGCAAAGGTAGTAGAAGAACTGACATTAATCAAGAGAAATAAAGCAGCACCGAAATGGATAGTAACTATTCCAAAATTCTCATTTACTCCAAAAGCTAGAAATTTTAGTCCTGAGGGAGTAAAATCATGCTATGAGGATCCTGGATATCTCAAGGTTTTTTAGCATTATGTCATTTAGGGATACTCAATCAGATATTCATCGTCTATGGCAGTTGATTGCTATCAAATGTTCATGAAGAATTCTGGCATTTACTTGAGTTTAGAAACAGTAGCATTTGGGGCAAAGTTGAGACTTATATATGAATTAATCCCGATAGCTTTCTTAATCGAGAAGGCTAAGGGTGTCGCAACAGATGGCCACCATAATATATTAGATATTGTGATCGAAGGTTATGAATAAAAGTCCGCATTCATTGCCGGCTCTAAAGAAGAAGTATAGTTTGTAATGGAGACCTTAAAGTGTAATGGAACTAATATTGCCTCTCTGGATCAGATGGCTGAAGAACTGTTAAAAGATAAAGAATTAGTATGAATTGTCAATTTTCATTCAATAGATATTTATTCAAAGTTTATGTGCTATGTTTCAACTTATTTGCATATATCATCAATCAATATTTCTTGTTTCGATTTAATAACGAACACTTATATTTAAAAATTCAAGTAAATGGGGTTTTGGGGTTTTGGGGAGATCGGAA